GCATTTTTTTTTCCATTTTATTTTTAAATTCATTGAATAGTTAAAAAACAAATGATCAAACAAAACGAGCCCTGCAGAGCTCACCTCTGGCTCCCATCGCTGCAGCGACGCTGTGTGGAAAGGGCCCACTAGTGAGCTGAGGTTGTCTGTGCTCAGCGGCGGCAGTGGGGAAGGCAGGGGGTGCGAGCTGCACAGAGCAGATTATTCATTGAAGGGAAAAGAAGAGGGGGGAATGTTTGGGCTTGCTGCTTAGCTGTCCTCCCAGGAAGTTCAGTCAGACACAGACTGAGGAAGCTGTGGGCAAAATAAGCTGTTGAAACTGCTAGTATGCAAAACTAATAAAATTTTGATGACCTGTGGAGCCCCGAGAGGAAACTGGATGGTTTCCCAGCAGCCCCCACATGAGTGGGGGTGTCAGGGAACTGTCCCTGAGCAGCTGCCGCTTTATAGGTGCTGGCCGCACGCTCGGCCATCCCGGCTGCGTGGGGGTGAAGCCAAAGCCCAAGCGGTTGTGGCTGGGAGCAGTGACTGGCCTGGCACTGCGGCTGGAGGGGCCGTGGCCCCGGGCACACGCGAGGTTGGAGCACAGCTCTGCAGGAGGGCGGGTGGGAGCTGAGCGCTAGGATGGCTCGCGTGTCCTCCCCGCGGTCCTTCATGTTTTTCCGGTGCTTGGCCCAGCAGCAGTGGTATTTCTGAAGAGAAAGCCGAAGGTGCTACCTCCCCTTGCTCCGTGCTGTCACGCTGCGCCCTTGCTGTGCTGCCCGCTGGGCCTGTGCCCCTTCCTGAGGTCGGGCTCGGCGCTCGCGTGGGGTGGTGGTGCTGCCCGTGCAGCCCTCACTGCCTACACGTGTGGAAGCAGCTTCCCCGTCGTTTCTGTCTCACGTGCAATACTGTCCAGTTAGAAGTGGGTCAATAGAGTAAGTTTGAAGTGTGCAAGTCTTATATCCCTGTCTGCTGAGATTTGTGACTTTTGAGCTAACGATACACCAAGACAACTGCTTTTTGTCACAGTTTCTATGAGCATTAAGCAATGCTGCTAATCACTCTGTAGCATCAAAGAAGAAAAGCCCGTCAGCCCTTCGAGTGCCTCTCTCGCACATCCCCAATGCTGGTGGGTGCCAGGAGCCACTAGCAAAGTCCTGCACCCGCCAGACTCCTGGGGAAACAAAGCCCCGACCCCTTGGGCAGCTCCTGAGCGCGGTGCCCCCCTGGGGGTGGCTGTGATGCACCCCGGGGAGCAGCTGCTGCCCTGCGGGCCGGGAGGCTCTGCAAACATTTCTGCAGCTCGCAACTGGATCAGGCTCTAACCAACTCTCTACTCCAGTCTAGGCCAAAGCAACCAGCTTTCCCCTACACTGGTGGCTGCTAAGTTTTTTTTCTTCAGGGTATCCAGACAAAAGCAAGCAGAGGAGGAGCCTACACTACATTCTCATGTTTATCAGAAACATATTTCATTTTGCTGTACATTCCTTTTATAGGATGTGTTATCTGTTTAAAAAAAAAACAAAAAAGAAAAAAAGAAAAAGATAAAAAGATAAAAAAACAAATGTGTAGTGAAATTCTTCTGTAACTTTGGATTAAGAGGTACTTATCTTTTTAAGAAGAGGACTAAGTTATTTACTTTGTAAATGTGCTGATGGCATGGATCCATCTTACTGACCTCAGCATTTTTTTTTTTTTAAAAAAAGGATTTGGGGTTTTGTTTCCAATATTAAGTTATTTTAAATTGTGGTTGAAGCAATAGAAAATTGAACTATGGATTGTGCATGACTGTGTCTTGAGTGTAAAAATATTGCAGTTTGAAACTTGGACCTAAAGTATTGCAAATAAAAGTTATAAATACCAGTGGATTGGGTGACAGCAGCTTTTCCTGTATGATCTTCAGGATCAGAA